CATCTGATTGAGTTTAGTGCCCTGTTGTGTTTTTGACTAATCACAATGATGAAGCTGCTATTACGAATGGTATTAGTTTATAGTAGTTAATTTTATGAATGCTTAACTTTTCAATTAATGTTGCTTAATAATTGTTAATTTGTAACGTTTGTTATCGTTTTTGTTGGTTATATGTGGTTGCCTATTTCTATTCTCAGCTTTAATAGTTAACCCATATGTTTACTTAAATTGATAAACTTCTTATATTTTTATAAAATAATATTTTAGTTATAATAGTTAAAACTTTAAAATATGTGTATTAAAATCACTTGCTTTTTTTTATCGATCTGTAAGCTGCAGTTTCTATTGATCATCTCCAAAAAGATTCTACATATGTGTAATAAATTTGTAATGTTATTCGGTTTTTTTTATCAGTAAGTTTCAATTTTTAGATGTAAAATTCTTATATTTTTATAAAATATATTTCAGCTTTTATTAAAATCGCTTGCTTCTTTCTATTACAATAAGAACATGGTTTTATAATTATATAAGAACTTAATTTAACAAAATTTCGTTGCATCGAATCCTATTAAATTAAACTTTAATTGGAATATTTTCGATAAAAGAATTCAGATGATATTGATGAGGGAGGGTATGTGATCAGGAGAGAAACTGATGTGAATTAAGTTCATAAACAATTAATTATTAATCGGAGTGCCCATGACGTCATGGGCACTCCGATTATAAAAATGCATATTACTTGTACGTAGTTGAATAATTCAATATTATAAAAATGCATATTACTTGTACGTAGTTGAATAATTCCCGTGTAGTGCCACAGAGGAAAATTACTCTACGAGCGTGTTAAGGATGTAATCCTACGATTCAAGCTCAGCCACTATAAAGACCTAACATTCAGTGCCTTGGAGCTTGATGCTTTTTCTGTGACTTTAGAATACAAAATCTTTTTGTAAGTGTGTAAAAGAAAAAAGTTGGGAAAATCCAATTACAGAGGAGTTATGTGAAGTTAGCTCTTTTATCTTTTTTTAGACCCCGCCTTCAATAAAATTGGGCTGGTCGAAAATGCGTAATTCTACCAGATAGGAAGGCCGTTGAAGCAAATGGATTATTTGATGAGAACCCTCTATTTTTCTCTTACCTAATCTTAATTTAAACTTGATTAATCTCTCCAATTCTTTCTGTGATGACATAGTCAACTTTCTGTCTATGACAAGATAGGAGTGTTGGGGATGCACAATCCCCCTGATGCGATTTGGAAATAGAGATTTAGGAGAGAAGAGAGAAAATC